TGGATTGCCTGAGCCCGTGGATTCGAGACCCACCTGGGCAGGCGAGACCTCATCTCTACAGCAAATCAAAAAATTAGCCGGGCGTGGTAGTGCTCGCCTGTAGTTCCAGCTACTTGGAAGGCGGAGGTGGAAGGATCTGCACTCCAGTCTAGGCGACAGAGTGAGACTCCAACTCAAAAAACAAAACAAAAATTAGTTAGATGGGTGGCACACATCTGTACTCCTGGCTACTCAGGAGGCCGAGGCAGAAGGATCGTCTGATTCCAGGAGTTCGAGGCTGCAGTAAGCTTTGATCGTGCCACTGTACTTCACTGTACCGAGACAACTGAAACCTTGCCTCAAAAAAAAAGAGAGAAAAAGAAAAACCCTCTGGATAAGAGGATGGCCGCAGCTCAGCCTCTGCTCATTGTGGCTTTACAAGGTGGGCCCAGTGGGACCAGATCTCTTTTTTTTTTCTTGAGTTGGCGTCTCACTCTGTCACCCAGGTTGGAGTGCAGTGACACACTCATGGCCACTGCAGCCTCGATCTGCAGGGCTCAGACAATCCTTCCGCCTCAGCGTTCCGAGCAGCTGGAACTACAGGCAGGCACTACCATAGCCTGGCTAATTTTTTTGATTTATTGTAGAGATGACGTCTCACCAAGTTGCCCAGGCTGGTCTCGAACCCCTGGGCTCAGGCAATCCTCCCACCTTGGCCTCCCAAAATGCTGGGCTTATAGGCATGAGCCACAGCGCCCAGCCTCATTTTTCTAGCAAAGCCCAGGTAAGACTTTTGTGAGTCTTACAAAAGACTGCTCTGAGTCAGACTTTCCAGGTTCAAATCTTGGCACGTTAACCTTCTTTGTTCGTCAATTTTGTCATCTGAACGTAGAGGTAATAATCGTACTCCCCTCACAAGGATGACGACGGTTAATTGAGTCGACAATGCAGAGTGCTTGGAATAGTCTACATAATGGCAGACTATTCTTGTATCCTGACACACTCTCACTCACATAATTTTCCTGCCAAAATGCACAATCTGATTATATTAATGAGAAAACATCAGAGAAAGCAAACTGGGGCATTTTACTTAACCACATGCCTGAACTCACAAAATATTCATGTGGGGCTGGCTGTCATGGCTCATGCCTATAATTCCAACACTTTGGGAGGCCAAGGCAGGAGAATTGCCTGAGGCCAGGAGTTCAAGACCAATCTGGGCATCATAGTAAGACCTTGTCTCTGCCAAAAAAATAAAAATAAAAAGCCAAGCCCGGTGGCGTGTGTCTGTAATACAAGCTACTCAGGAGGCTGAGTTAAGAGGATGGCTTGACGCCAGGAGTTTGAGGCTGTAGTGAGCTATAATTGCACCACTGTACTCAGGCCTGGGCCACAGAGTGAGACTCTAAGGAAAAAAAAAAAAAGGTAGCCAGGCTCGGTGGCTCAGCCTGTAATCCCACGCCTTTGGGAAGCTGAGGTAAGTAGATTGCCTGAGCCCGCGGGTTGGTGTCTGGGCGACAGAGTGACACTCCAACTCAAAAAAAAGGTATGTTATACAAAGAAAGGCTGAAGAACTGTTCCAAATTAAAGGAGACCAAGAGTCTGGGCACAGTGGCTCACGTCTGTAATCCCAACACTTTGGGAGGTTGAGGCGAGAGGATTGCTTGATCCCAGGGGTTCGAGACCAACCCGAGCAACTTGGCGAGACCTCGTCTCTACAATAAATTAAAATTAGCCGGGCATGGTGGCACATGCCTATAGTTCCATCCACTTGGAAGGCTGAGGTGGAAGGATTGCCTGAGCCCAGGTTGAGGCTGCAGTGGCCATGAGCGTGCCACTTCACTCCAGCTTGGGCAACAGTGAGACTCCAAAGGAAAAAAAAAAAAAAGCAAGAGATGTGACATGTCATTGCAATACATGATCCCGAAATGGAAAAAGTACCGATAAAAATGACAAGACTTGTGCCAGTGGGAAACTGAACAGAAGTGTTATCCTAGATAACTGTACCAATGCCAAACTTCCTGAACTGTGGTGACGGAGGGAAATAGCCTTGGTTTTAGGAGGAAGGCTTCAGGCACAAGGGACCGTATCTGTAGCTACTGTGGACTCACCCTCTGCATTCATGGTTTCAGTATCGGTGAATTTGCCCACTTGCTGAGGTCAAACAAGGCAACGCCCCAACTCTCACACTGTACCAAGTGTCCTTTCCATGGTCTGTTTGGTGTCACATTTTCCCCATGTTTAGGTTTTGGTGATTTTACTATTTAAAATGGTCCCCAGCTGGGCCTGGTGGCTCATGCCTATAATCTTAGCACTTTGGGAGGCCGAGGTGAGAGGACTGCCCGATCCCGTGGGTTTGAGACCAGCCCAGGCAACTTAGCAAGATGCTGTCTCTACAATAAATCAAAAGGTAAGCTGGGCGTGGAAGCACGCGCCTGTGGGTTCAGCTATTTGGAAGGCTGAGGCGGAAGGATCGGTGGAGCCCATCAGGTTGACAATGGGGTGGTGGTGAGTGTGCCACAGCTCTCCAACCTGGGTGACACAGTGAAAAAAAAAGGTGACACATTGATCAGTTGAAGAAAATAATCCTGACCAGAGACTCACAGGAACCCAACCCTGTATTTCCCCTAGAAGCAATGGCTCAACATCTGCTAATTTAGTGTTCCTGGTGACTTTATAGAACTATTGTAAGTAACAATACATGATTGCACATACAGTTTAGATACTATTCATGCAACTTGTTGTAGGTTTACAATTCTCAAAATAAAATCTTCAGGCTGGGTGTGGAGGTTCATGCCTGTAACCCCAGCAATTTGGGAGGATGAGGCCGGAAGATCACTTGAGGCCAGTTCAAAATTAGCCTGGACTGGCAGGGTATGGTGGTTTAGGCCTGTAATCCCAGCACCTTAGGAGGCTGAGAAGAAAGGACTGCCTGTGCCCAGGGGGTTCAAGATAGCCTGGGCAACTTGCTGAGACCTCCTCTCTACAGTAAATCAAAAAATAAGCCAGGCATGGTTGTGCACTGCTGTAGCTCCAGCTACTGGGAAGGCTGAGGCGGAAGAATTGCCGGAGCCCAGCAGGTCGAGGCTGTGGTGGCCGTGAGCGTGCCACGGCATTCTAGCCTGGGCGAGAGAGTGAGACTTCAACTCAAAAAAAGAAAAAAAAAAGTAAACTTTGCTTAGAGGATCACCTAACTGGGACACTGGATGAAATAATTTCAGCAGCCCAGAACCAACAAATACAAGACACAAGAAGGAGGTGTCCCTTTTGAGTATATTTATGTGTCACACACACACGCACACACTCGACGCTTGGACGGGAGGAAAGGATAGGAGGCTCCCAGGTGGCACTGGCACGGAGCAGGAGGAGGGACAAAGGGAGTGTTGGCACCACTCTGCCCCCCCACCTCCTAACGGGCACTGGACCTGGAGCTGGAAGAACAGGAAGTGCTTATTCTCTTAGAGGAAAGTTTCAAAGTGCAGAAATTTCTTTTACAAAAAGCCTCTTCCCTCCACTCTGCCCCCGATGAAGTCCAGCCCCCTGCACAGGCGGTCCATGGGACTGGGGCAGGACAAGGTCATGGGGAAGGGCGTTAAGGCCAAAGCAACGAAGGGCCCAGATGGCGAGGGCCTAGGCGTAGTGGCTGCCGGGCGTCAGAGGGTGGTCCCCTCTGTGGTCCAGCTGGTCCTGCAAGCGGGCGAACTCGGCTAGCTCGTTGAGCTCCTGGAACTGTCGGTCCGTCTTATGGCTGACCAGCGAGCGGTAGAAGTGGACGGCGAAGACGATGAAGACCAGGCCGCAGGGGACCATGATGGTGGTGGAGGCGATGGCAGCCGCCTGGCCCGGGGTGATGCCACCCGCGTCGTCGCTGCTGCCGTTGGCGGCCGGGGCCTTGCTGGTGGGCCGTGGCTGGCCCGGCTGCCTCTTGAGGGGCAAGAATTTGACCCAGCAGAGCAGCACAACCTCAGCCAGGAAAAGCAGCGTGCCAATGACGGTGGAGAAGGCCCAGGCCAGCTCGATGTGGCGGTGCATGCGCTCGTGGGGCGACTCCTTGACCGAGTTGAGGTTGTGCACGTTGCTCACCGCCTCGATGTTGGGGAGGATGCACGTGCTGATCATCAGCGCGAACAGGTGCACGGCCACCAGCACCGTGGTGCAGGCGCTGAAGGCGATGAGCAGCCCCGGCGGGTAGTCGTGCTCTGCGTCCAGCTGCACCTCCACCATCGCCACCTGCGGGGGGGCAGGCGGGTGAGTGCCAGCACGCCCAAATCCGGGCTCCCCTCCCAGCAGGCTCTGGACCCTGGGTCAGTCGTGGGGCCTCTCTGAGCCTCAGTTTCTTTTTTCAATATCTTTTTTTTTTGAGTTGGAGTCTCACTCCGTCGCCCAGACTGGAGGGCAGTGGCTGCTCCCGGCCACCGCAGCCTCGACCTGCTGGGCTCCGGCGACCCTTCTGCCTCGGCCTTCCAAGGAGCTGGAACTACAGGCGCGCGCTACCATGCCCGACTAATTTTTTGATTTATTGTAGAGATGAAGCCTCACCAAGCTGCCCAGGCGGGTCACGAACCCACGGGCTCAGGCAATCTACTCGTACCTTGGCCTCCCAAAGCACTGGGATTACAGACTGAGCCACTGAGCCCAGCTTTATTATTATTTTTTGAGTCACAGTCTCACTCTGTCACCCAGGCTGGAGTGCAGTGGCACGCTCAAGGCCACCGCAGCCTTGACCTGCTGGACTCAGGTGACCCTTCTGCCTCAGCCTTCTAAGTAGCTGGAACTACAGGTACGTGCCACCACATCAAGCTTATTTATTGTAGAGACGTGGTCTGCCATGTTGCCCAGGCTGATCATGAATCCCTGGGCTCAGGCAATACTCTCACCTCAGTCTCCCAAAATAGTGGAATTACAGGCGTAAGTCACCACGCCCAGCCTCTGAGCCTCAGTTTCTACATGTACACAATGGATAGAATAAGGCCCACTCAGCCGGGCTCGGTGGCTCAGCCTGTAATCCCAGCCTTTGGGAGGCTGAGGTGAGTGGACTGCCTGAGTTTGTGGGTTCGAGACCCGCCTGGGCAGCAAGACCTCATCTCTACAATAAATAAAAAAATCAGCCAGGCGTGGTAGCGCATGCCTGTAATTCCAGCTACTTGGAAGGCTGAGGCGGAAGGATCGCCGGAGCCCAGCGGGTCGAGGCTGCGGTGGCCAGGAGCGGCCACTGCACTCCAGTCTGGGCGACAGAGTGAGACTCCGACTCAAAAAAAAAAAAAAGAATAAGGCCCACTCACTTGGCACTGAGTGACAGAAAGTCTTGGTGAAGAAAGCAGGAGTCATGGCTGCCGGGACCGGTAATCTCAGTTCTGCCACTCACTAGCGGTGTGACCTTGAGAAAGTCACTTAACCTCTCTGAACCTCAACTTCCTTATCTGTAAAACAGAGCTATCATATTAGTTCATAGTATTATTTTGACAATTAATTGAGAGGTCCTGGTATAAGATAATCACCTCCCAAATGGTAGCCTGGCCAGGTATTAAAAACCAGCCATGGCCGGGCACGGTGGCTCAGCCTGTGATCCCAGTACTTTGGGAGGCCAAGGTGAGTGGATTGCCTGAGTCCGTGAGTTTGAGAGCAGCCCAGACAGCTTGGTGAGACCTCATCTCTACAATAAATCAAAAATTATCCAGGTGTGGTAGTGCTTGTAGTTTCAGTTACTTGGAAGGTTGAGGCGGAAGGATTGCCTAAGCCCAGCAGACGGAGGCTGCGGTGGCCATGAGCATGTCACTGCACTCCAGCATGGGTGACAGAGTGAGACTCCAACTCAAAGAAAAACAAAACAAAACAGCTATGGTTGAATGTGATGGCTCATGCCTGTAATCCCAGCATTCCAGGAGACCGAGGCAGGAAGATCACTTGAGGCCAGGAGTCTGAAGACCAGCCTGGGCAACAAAGTGAGAACTTGTGTCTACAAAAATTTTTTTAAAATTAGCTGGGCATGGTGGAGCGCACCTGCAGTCCCAGCTACCCAGGAGGCTGAGGTCGGAGGATTGCTTGAGGCCAGGAGTTCGAGGCTGCAGTGAGCTATGACTGCACCACTGTACTCCAGCCTGGGCAACAGAGCAAGTCCTTGTCTCTAAAAAGTTAAAATTAAAAAAAAGTTTTAAAAAATAAAATTAAAAGCCGGGCTCGGTGGCTCAGCCTGTAATTCCATGACTTGGGAGGCTGAGGTGAGTGGATTGCCTGAGCTCGTGGGTTCGAGACCCGCCTGGGCAACTTGGTGAGACCTCACCTCTACAATTAAAAAAAAAATTAGCCGGGCGTGGTAGCGCACACCTTAGTTCCAGCTACTCGGAAGGCTGCGGCGAAAGATCGCCGGAGCCCAGCAGGCCAAGGCTGAGGTGGCCGGGAGTGGCCACTGCACTCCAGTCTGGGTGACAGAGTGAGACTCCAACTCAAAAAATAAATAAATAAATAAATAATAAAATAAATGGTCAAAATGGTAAATTTTATCATTTTACTATGTTAAAAAAATGTATTAAGAACAAAAAGCGGGGGAAGAAAAAAAGGAAAAAAAAAAAGAAAAAAAAGCAATCACCAACCCCTATCTCTGCTGGTCCCACGTCCTCACATCCAAGCAGAGCCTCTCCTTCACGCCCTGCTCTGGGGACAAGCCGAGGGGTGGTGGCTGGACAGGTGATAGCCTTCCCGGGGGACGCCCAGGCCCTTCCTGAGAACACAGTGCACAGCCGACAAGTATCAAGAGCCGCTTCCCAGAAGCCACAGGGTCAGGACTGAGCGGCCAGCAAGCCCTGGGGCCATCTCCGCCCAGTCAGGGGACTGACACTCACTCAGGGCTCCCCAGTTCCCGGAGACCTGCAGACCAGGGTCACCCGGGCCATGCTCCAGGCCTGCCCCCACCGCTGCTTCTCACTCAGGCCTAGCAAATCACCCTCATGGGAAGGAGCCAGCTCATCAGATCTGGGCCAGGAGCAGCGGGTGGTGGGCACACAGCCAGGGTCGGCCCACGAGGCTTGAGGGACAGCAGGCCCCGCTGGCAATCATTCCACCAAGGATGGTGACTCTTTAGAACGTCTGTGGCCGGGCTCGGTGGCTCAGCCTGTAATCCCACGCCTTTGGGAGCCCGCGGGTTCCAGACCCGCCTGGGCAACTTGGCGAGACCTCATCTCCACAATAAATCAAAAAAACTAGCCAGACGTGGTAGTGCATGCCTGTAGTTCCAGCTACTCGGAAGGCTGAGGCGGAAGGATCGCCGG